TAGTTATAGTTGTCATACATGCGATAAACAACCAACTCTTCCTCAATTTGTCGATAGCCAAGGTACGACCGTTGACTATTTCTCTAATCAGGAAACAACCCTAGGTACGACCATAGAAGTTTAATTCCCTAATTGCATGAATAATTAGAAGAGCCTAATTCTAACCAATCAACACGCTACGAGGGTCTCTTTAAGTTAGCCTGTCTATCTCCCTGACACAAACCCAATCATGCCAGTTACCACCAGTTTAGAATAATTAAACAATTATGGATTTAACTACCCTAATTGGCTTCAGGTTATTGAATTAATCTAGAATCCGGGCCCTGGATAATCAAATAACAAAACAACCATATGAACATAAAGCAGAAGATAGACAAATACCAGTGAATAATGGAAATATATAAAAACCAATTCGATCTCACAAATTTAGTAGAACCAAATCCCCGTTGTTCTTGACTAGAGTGGCGAAATTAGTTCATGTTTGATGAACTAAACCCACCAGAAATTGCGGCAATAGCTGCGACCTTCGTATCCATGAATTAGGCAAATTCAATTCGCTCAAATCAATAAGAAAAGTAAGCTACATGAGTTGATTGATTGCTTGTACTCTTGGCTAACATTCGAAGGAAGACAAGGAACTACTAAAAGCTAAAAAGAAAGAAAAGTCAAAAGAAACTAAGCTAAAGGACAAAAGAAACTAAGAAGAGAGTCACTGCTCTTCCTCTGCGCAACTCCTATTCCAATTAGCCTATTGCTCCTGTGCGGCGTCCGCCGCACCAGAAGAAGAAGCCCCCTTTTTCCTGCATAATTTTCCTATATAAAGGAATACTCCTTGCGGCGGCTCCTGTGCAGGAAAGTGAAGACTTCGGCCCAATTCGCCCAACAAGGGCTCACGTTTGTTGTTCCAAAAATGCCCTAGAATAAGCTCTATCATCTGGACTCTTTTCCTGCCAAATTAGCACCTGTTATTATATTTTCGTTCTACTCCCTGAAATAAATGTAAATTACGAAAAGTGAGTAGAATCTAATAATTAATTCACATCAGGTCAAGTAATAGGGGAAATTAATAATAAAATAAGTGAATGAATTGCAACCTATCAAAGGCCTTGTATTGGAAGTTTCATGTCTATTGCCTGCAATTCTGTGATGTTGTAGCTGGCTCTGAATTAGTTTATAATGAAAATTTTGTTCCACACTGATCATATTGCTGTGCCTTCTTTTGGATGTGTAGTCCCCCCTTTCATTGCTATTGCTTGACTGCAACAATTGCTGTCATTTCTCAAACCTCCGATATTTGGCTATTCGTGTTGAATGTCGTTATGTTGGACTAAATGTTATTTTCATGCCTCCCTGTATGATGCCCTTCTTGAAGGGCGTGTGGCTGATTATGATTAGTTGATCATCTTTATAATCTCTCTGTCTCTTTGGCATTTTGGAATGGCTCTGCTCTTCACTCTTCACTCTTCACTATCTTCTCTGTTAATTCAATGAAACTAACAGCAACTTCCTGAATAATTCGTATAGATAAACTCAGGTTTGTATGGCATTAATCACAGCTTGTCATGCCTTATTTGTTGGATTCACTCTTTCATTTGAAGCATATTGACGTCTTGTGTCAAATAATCAAATATACAAGATTTTCTGAAGCAATCAAGAATCATCATATCTGATTCTTATTAGTCCATGTTGCAGTCCAGTTTCCTTCATCATATTTCTGCTCCTTACGCTAGTGGATTCTATGGATTGAAGTGGTAGCCATTTTCGATTCAGGGCATTACATGCGGCCAGTAGTACATTCATTCGTCTCAAATTAGCATCTCAATTCATTTTTTATGCGGATTCAGATCATAAACTCTTGCTACCATATGTATAGCTGGAATTGAACATCTTATTGCTTTGCTTGTGCTACAATTGCCAATGCCTAAAGGCCTCTCGGAGAAAATGTTGAGTTTTATTGCTGATTTGCCAGAAAAGGGAAGATAATGAGTTTATATAAAAAAATGAAAGCATTATGCCAAAGTATGTCTAAGCACAGAAAATTGTTTCAGGTTTAAGCAATAGAGTCATTGCTTCTACTTTCAGATTCTCAATGATCTGACCATTTTACTGAGTGAACATTCAACCGCTATGTACTTTCCTTGGGCCAAAATCAAATCGATTGACATTGCTTTTTTCTTGTTAGTTAGCCTGATTCTTAGTTGGACCTCTTTTTTTTGTTAAAAAAATAAATAAATGAATACAAAAGTCTATCGTGTTTCACTGTAGTGATAACTAGAGTTGAAATCACTCAAATTCTTTCTTTCAAAAACAAAAAAAAATATTTGTCTAGGACCTAGAAATAATATAGAGAGTTTGAGATTGGTAGAACGTGGACTATATGCTCTACAAATAAAATTTGTCACTCATTAATAATCAGGGAGAGTTTATGTGTTTTTTGTGTCAATGAATATGTAATTTGAAGTCACAAAGCGTAATTATTTATCCGAGAATCAGAATGCAACACAGTTAGTGCGGAAAGGAAGAACTTTGACCCCTAACAAAGAAATTTTATTACAGTCACCGTCAATTATTTGGCGAGTTACAATCATTAGCATATGAAATTAATTAAACAAATAAGGAGTTCATAATCTTATTTGGATTGTATATGAAATTAATTGATTTCACAATCTTATTTAGAATATTTTCATTAGCCAAAAACCGACCGTTAATTGATCCGATAAAAATTCTTGCTCTGGCACTTGAGGGAACCAAACAAAATAAGATGCGCGCTCTAATTCTAATTCTTGAGGATCAGTAATTAAGACCAAATTATTATTCAAGTTGGGGAGGGTTGGGTGTGGGTGATAAGGTAGGAGGTGTTGTAAGTAAGGGATCCCGAGTTCAATTTTATCTTGGACATAAATGATTCTCCTCATAAATGCAACAATCGTTGAGATATTGTCCACAATCAAAATAATTGATAAAGTTAAAGTAAAAATGCCAATACAAAAGCATCCAAATTTGTCAAACAACCACAGCCATTTCAAAACATCCAAATAATATGTTTTAAGGAATCGATATGACAACACAAACAAGCGATTGAAATTAAGAAAAAAACAAAGAATCCAAGCATTGGCCTTGGAAATTTTTTCAGTTAAAAACCAAGCAACTTCCCAACATTTAAGTTTGTGCTTTAGTTAAACTAACTCCTCAAAATTTTCAGCACTTCATTAAATATTGCACATAAAACGTAAACAACACATATTGAGTGTGAAAACTAATCATAAATAGGATAGGAGGCTAATAGAAGAGTTACGGTCTAAGATATGACTTGTTAAATTCCTTCTTTCAAGTTTGATTGATGCGCTAGAAAACTTCCTAAAGTATGAGAGAATATTTAAACAATTTTCACAAGTTAAAATGCAAACCATTTCTGGCCAATTACGTGATGTATGAAATGATCACTTTGCGGTCACTTTGTGGTCTCTTGATTTTGACCAAATTCTAAAAGTTTTTAAGCAAACAAAATATTACTCCAGTTATGCTGTTAGTCCAATTCCCAAGGATAGTTTGTAAGGCCAATTTATTATTCTTTTCAAATTTATTTCTGGATTAACAGATGACATGATTAATGTTGCCCATGTCACCACCCGTGATTGTCATTTCCCTTCCCATTTACCTGTGATTGTCACCACCTGTGGTTTTATTTTATTTCTCAAGAACTAGAAAAATGGGATGAATAATGTACCCAAAATCACAACATCATTGTCATTTTCCCCTTTTTTTTAACATTCTAATTGTTAAGGACAATAATTTCTTGTGCTTCTCGGTCAGACCATCATTCTTTTCAGAATTTTTTGCACAAACAATAGAATGCCTCAGCAGTTTAAGAGTTGGCGCCTCAGCAAAGCATTCAACAAAAAATGCTCATTTCCTCCCTTTGAAACATCTAAATTCAGCAAAAGTGTATAAATATAGCGTAAGATAAAAGGTCTATTCCACTTCTAATTCCAATCCATTGTATATTGTATGCCAAAAAATAAATAATATATAATAAAGAAACTGCTCAAAATTTTCGCCACTTAAATTTCGTATATGGGACATGAATAAGACGTTTTGCGTCAAAATGTGAGTTCTTAATTCCTTCTTTGTAAGTTCAAAGAGCTAGAAAACTTTTGGAAATACGAGGGACTATTTTGACAATTTCACGAATGTAAAGAGCTAAGAAGAGCATCCAGTTGCTAGACAATTTAAATCGTTACATACCAAGTCTGCTTACTGATTCGACTTCAAATTTGAGGTATTTTCCACAACCGAAGGCCCCAGCTGGCGTTCTTCAATCAGAAACAGATGAAAACCTCAGCTAAGCATTGATTAACAAGGCCCAGTGAAATTGCCAACCAAACTTCTATTTCAATTAAAGGGATCCCAGTTTCTCAAAGATGTACTGCTGCAACACTTCTACACTTTGTGGAAAAGCAAAAAAGTTCAGGACTTTGAAGTCTCTGGGCCGTAAATAAATTCAAGGATTTTAAGCCATAGTGTTAGCGTATTCCTTTGCAGAAAGCCAACAAAATAAGGTGTACTTGTATATGTTTTAATTCTGATCCCCAAGGAATTAATACTATGTTTAATTGTCGGAGTCTCAATTATGATTGTCATTCTCTTTTGCTTTTTCTCTCTTATAAAAAATTATTGTGGACCTTTCATTTTTCAGCACAGTTTCTTGTCCTTCTTGGGTGGAATTTTCCACGACCAGGGGCCCAAGCGTGTGGAATGTGGATCAAAAGCAGATGCAGAATCCCAGCAACCTCTATGTTTTCAACTGAAAATGCCAAGCAACTTCCGTTGCAAAAGCATCCGATCCAGTTTGTCAAAGAAGTGCAGCACCAAAAAATCCTCATAAGTCTTGTCACTTCCGTTTGAGTAAAGAGCAGTTCCTTTCTGCTTCTAGCTACAGCTAAAACCTACCGCTGCAAAAGAGTATCTTGATCTGAAGACTCGCCCAAGGAACAAAAAGAATGGCTGATGCACTTATTACTTCCACAATAAAGGTGGCACTGGAGAAGACACTTGCCCTTGCCAATGAAAGGATTGGCAAGTTATTCCAATTCAAGAAGGATTTGGAGACCCTGAGAGGATCCGTTGCCATGATACAAGCTGTCTTGGCTGATGCTGAGGAAAAGCAAACGCACGACCAGGCCGTGCAACTGTGGCTCCAGAGGCTGGAAGCCGTGGCGTTTGATGCTGAGAATTTGTTGGACGAGCTGAATTATGAAGCTCTTCATCGCCAACTCGTGGGCAAGGTACGCTCCTTCATCCTGTCCTCTGACATTAATATCGTTTTCCGATGGAGAATGGCCTCTAAGATCAGCGACATCAACAAGAAGTTGAATAAGATCAATAAAGAAGCGAATGATTTTGGACTGATCAGATTCCAAAGGGCAACTTTCCCCCCTTCTACAACTGCTAAAGTCACTCTAAATAGAGAGACGGATTCTATAGCTGGCCATTATGTTGTAGGAAGAGCTAAGGATGAAACAAGGCTGGTGGAGATTTTGCTAAGCTTGTCAGAAAATGCCGTTTCTGTAATTCCCATCCTTGGGATGGGCGGATTGGGAAAGACAACTTTAGCTCAATCTGTATACAACAATAGCCAAGTTGATAGCCATTTTGAGAAAAAAATTTGGGTTTGCGTGTCCGACAATTTTGAAGTGACAAGGCTTTTGAAAATGATTTTAGAATCACTCACGAGAAGAAATGTTGAAATAACCAGTAGGGATGTCATTGTCCAGGAAATTAGACAACAACTTGTGGGGAAAAAATATCTTCTTGTTCTTGATGACGTCTGGACTGAAAGCCAAATCTTGTGGGATGATTTTTTACGTTTGTTACGGGGCCTGAATGCAACTAATGGAAATTGGTGTGTTGTGACAACTCGCAAACAACAAACTGCATCCATTGTGGCCACACATGATCCTTATGTGTTAGGAAAGCTATCTGATGATGATTGTTGGTTTATCCTAACAGAGAAAGCCAATGCAGGTGGAGAAATTCCCGAAAAATTGCAAGTCATGAAAAAGGAAATTATAAAAAAATGTGGTGGCCTACCGCTAGCTGCAAGTGCAATGGGAGGTTTATTGCGCATGAAGGGAAAAGAGGAGTCGGAATTGATTTTGATGAATAAGCTTTCAAATTTGAGCGGAGATGAAGACAGTGTCATGAAAATACTTAAATTGAGTTTTAATTGTTTACCATCACCAGCCGTTAAGAAATGTTTTGCATATTGTTCTATGTTTCCTAAGGATACTGAGATGAAAAGAGATATGCTAATCGAACTTTGGATGGCAGAAGGCTTCCTTCAAGTAGATCTCAAGAACAAAACAATGAGGAAATTGGAGAGTATTACTTGGAAATTTTATTGCAGAGTTCTTTGCTGGAAGAAATAAGAGACGGTTGGAGAAGGTGTTATAAAATGCATGATATGGTGCACGACGTCGCAAAATCAATAATGTCAAAGTGTACTAAAGTCATCAATTCGGAGACTGGTTCAGGAGACAATACTAAAATAATTTTATTTTTGACTAACTATTTATATAATTAGGTGGGCATAATACGACTTAATCACATGTTTCTTACAGAGATAATAATGCCCAAAAGTGATAGATAGATAAGAAACTTAAGTGGTCTTTTTCAAAGTTTTGTAGAAACTATTCAGATTTGGTGTTTTTGCTAGGGGCATTTCTTTATAATCTCATAAATAAGTTCAAATCTGCATAATTGTTAAAGATCTGAATTGAAACTATCTTGATTATAAAAAATTGGTGCAAATAATATTTTCTAAATTTGAAATTTTAGAAAAATGGTAACTAAAATCAGAAGAAATTCCTCATATGAATTCGAATTGCAAACTATAGGTAGAAACTGCTTAATGATATTTTTCAATGTTTACTTTATAAGTATCCAATATAGCATTTCTACTTAATTGACTCGTTTGAACTATGGATAATAGTTGCTTCAATCAAATCAAGAAACATTATTTATCATTGTACAACATACAATTATGAGTAAATGAATTAATACAATGCAATCAAAATGGTGCTGTAGCGAAAGCATTTAAACTCATCAAGTTCCATTACAAATTCTTTTAGATAGCATAAAAAGCAAATTTTTTGTATTTGAAACTATATAAACAGTAGAAGTTCTAAATTCAAAACTCTGGTTTCTTAAATCTCACACCTCGCCGATTGCTAATATTTTTTTCTAGTTTTTTGAAGTTTCTTTTAACTTTTGGAAAAAATGTAGTTTTTGTCCTTAGTGTTTTGCACTTGCACGGTTTTAGTTCTAAAGTTTTAGCAAAAACAAGTATGGTCCTCAATTTTTGGCACTTGAACTATTTTACTTCTAAAAGTTTGATCAAAAATAATTTTTGTCCCAAAATGTTTCCAATTTTAAGCAAATTTAGGATAATCGACTAACTTTTTTTTAATTACTATGGGAATTTAGTAACGTTCAGTCATGTGTACATTAAATTAATTTTGTAAGCAAAGATGCAATTCAATGGCTTTTTTTCGTTTCTTAGGGTTGGTAGGGATAGAGAGAAAAAGTAAGTTTTAAATTGATGAATTAAGTGATTCAACTAATTTGAATTTTGTACTTTTAACAAATTTTTACCAGTTAATTAGTTAGCTAATGAGTTGTTTGTCCTTAATACTGTTGTTTAGAGTTAGCCACTATTTTTTCTTTTTTTTTTATATTTAATATAATGGAAACATGAATAAATTCTGTCAATAATGTAAAAATATTCAGTTATGCTAAATCTACTTTATATTGGATACGTTAGAGACCAGAGTTGTTCTTATAGAAACTTTAGGGACTACAATCGTGCTTGAGGACTAAATTTGTTTTTGTCAAAACTTTAAGGACTGGAGCTCCACAGGTGCTATATTTGCCGAACTTCATTTCAGAATATAACGTTTGAAGCAAATCCACATTTGAAGTTATTCTTTGCCAAACTTCATTCACCACAGTTCAGAATGTGGGGTACTCATTGATTATGCAAAGTTGAAAAGGCTCGATGCTCAACATCAACAATATCAAAATTTGAATTAACAAATAATTAGAAGCCTAATAGATTTTTGTATTGACTATTCACTTAATATACGTCTCTAGCTAACAGATTAAGGTGTGCGTTAAGACCAAATTATGTTCTAATTAGTTCATCTTTCAGGGATTAACGAATGAATGAAATATATGTTAAGCAAACAGCAAATGTAAGGATGAAGGCCCCGCCCCAGCAAGAAAGTTAAAGTGAAAATCCCATGCCAGGAATTTCCATTTCAAAGCATCCAAGAAATTTAAAGTGAAGATGCCGAGCAAGGAATATATATTTCCATTGCGAAGGAAGGCATCAAAGCCAAGAATAACTCTGCATTTCAAAGCATCCAAGAAACTTAAAGCGAAGATGCCATGCAAGGAATATATATTTCCATTGCAAAGGAAGGCATCAAAGTTAAGAATAACTCTGCACTTTTAAGCGACCAAATATCAATGCTCTTCTCTCTACCCTTTTGTGTATGTATAGTTTTTACATTATTGCAATTTTTATATTAACCATAAACATAGTTACATATTCCTACTTAATTAAGGACGAAAAATTTAGCAATTTATTTATGCATAAACAAATATTCAATTTCTAGCAATATTAATAAATCTATCAGTTAATAGTTAAAGTTTTTTGACACTAAGTTAGTCCATAGGGATAAAAAAAATTAAACAAATTTATCATATTGTTAGAAGAAAGAAGAACCATAAGAAAAAATAATTCAAATTTAGCTAAAAAGATAAATTTTTTAGGACGAGAAAAATTAATTATAAAAGAATCGGATACAAAAATGGGGAAAACTCAAGTATCCAAATAACCAGTTTATTCCCCATCAATTTCCACCTTTTGAAGTCTTCTTTCGACAATCTTCTATTATCACAACTCGATTTAAATTAAACTTGTGAACATATCATAGGCAAATAATTCAATTGTAAAAATTGAAATCCACAAGAACATGCTCATTTCCCCTTCCCAAAACATCCCAATTCAGTCAAAGTGTATAATCATAGTGTGAGCTAAAGGTCTATTTCACTTCTAACTTCAGTTGATTGTATATTGCACTCCAAAAAAAAATTGGTAATAAAGAAACTCCTTAAACTTTCACACTTAAATTTTGCATGCTATACATAAACAAGACATTTTGAAACAAAATGTCTGAAATTTTAAAGTGCTAGAAAGCTTGTGGAATTATGAGTGATTATTTTGGCAATTTCACAAGTGTAAAAGCTAAGAAAGCACCCAACCATTGCCCAATTATGTCGCTATATGCCAAACCTGATTGCTAACTCCACTTCATGTTTTTGATAAGTGAACCAAGGATTATTTTTTATTAAAGTTTTTCCCCCACAAAATAACGTTTTTAGTCTATTTCTCAAGGATTAATGACTGAGGCAATTAATGTTGCAAAGTCACCAGCTATGGCTGTCATTTCCTCTTTCTCCTTTACATTTTTATCGTTGAACATAGTTTTTTTTCTTTTTTTTTTTTTGGCGGGGCTCAGTCTTGGGTCAAACCATTGAGATATTTTCCACGACCAAAGGCCCCAGACAGCTTTCAATCAGAAAAAGGTAAAATACCCAGCTAAGCATTGATCAATAAAGGCCAAGTCAATAATGGCATGCAAACTTCTGCATGGCAATTAATAATGGTATCCACTGCAGCACTTCTTTCTACCAGTGGTTAAAGAGCTGACAAAAGCATCCACTGTAAATTTCTAGCTATTCTGAACTAGCCTAAGAAGAAAATATATAGCTAGCATGGAAATGGAGAACTTTGGGGGTCTGTGAATTTTAAAGAAATTGGAGGATTTTAAAGAAATTAATGTGTTTCAAATCCCCTGCAGAAAGCAAACAAAATAAGGAGTCTCCAAATGATTAATATGTTTCAAATCTGATCCACCTAGGATCAGCAATTTAGATGGAATTATTAATTGTACGTTCACGTCCCAGGAACTGAGGAGTGAGATTTATTAGAGTCTCAATGATGATTGCCATTTTCTTTTCTTCATCATTCAACTCGGTTTCTTTTCCTTCTTGGGTGGAATTTTCCACATCCGATGGCCCCCCATGCAAGTGGCATGTGGATCAGAGGCAGATGAAGAATCCCGGCAACTACTATGCTACAAACAAGGGAGATTTGGCTCAGCGGTAACAAAAAAGAGATTAATTTTTTTTTGGATTGTAAATGTGGAGTTCGAACTCTACGTAATGAAAAAAAATTAAAAAAAGCGTCAAAATACGATATAATTAGGATTAGGTCTGTATACCAACTCACTTATATAGTCTTTTTAGGCTCTCTGGCATGTAGAATAAAATAGATTAGGCTCCCTTTCTCTATAGAATAGATTAGATTAGGTTGTAGGAAAGTTATTGTTGCTATAAAAAAAAACACTTTCATTGCAGGAGCATCCGATTCAGTTTGTCAAAGAAACGTTGCACCAAATTGGATCGAAATTCTTTACTAACTTCTTGTGTTTCAGGAACCAAATTAAATAATTAAACAAGAATACGCATAAGGAATGAGAAATTTCTAGTGTTTCAGGTATCAAAGAAATTGATAAGACATTTCTTATAAAGTTTTGGCAAGATTTGCAACAAGGAAACATAAGTTGGGATTTCATACCGATCATGTTATGTACTTGAAAACGCTAAAGTACAAAAGGTAATTTAAAATCTCAAGCCTAATTACTAAGCCAAGAAGCAAAATGCATCATAGCTAGTGCGAAAACAGAGAACATTTATTATTATTGCTTCCCAGTGTGGTCGCTTCCCAAAACCGAACAAAATTCAGACCAAATTACTGTATGTCATAAATTCATTTTCCAAGGATTAACAATAATGACATGCATGTAAGTGGACAAAAACAATGGTTATTGAGAAAGTTACTCTGTAAACATGCCAATGCAAAAGCTTCCAAATTTGTCAGAGAAGAACTCCACGTCTACGCGCAATAATTATTAATGCTCCTTTCTTCATAACCAATTATACTAGCCTAGATAAGATTACCAGTTCCTCGCTGCAAAAACACTTCCATCAAAAAAAAAAACCATCTTGATCTCAGAGCTGTATATCCACGGAAGAAGAAATGGCCGACCCTGTTATCAGTGCCACTATTCAGGTTGCCTTGGAGACGGCAGTATCTCTTGCCACTGACAGGATTGGTATGTTAGTTGGGTTCAAGAAGGATGTTGCCAGCATGACACGTACTCTCCGCTGGATCAATGCTTTCTTGGCTGATGCTGAGGAAAGACAACAAAACCAGGACGGGTAGTGCAAGAATGGTTGAAGAGTCTCGAGGAGGTGGCTTATGAGGCGGACAATGTGTTGGATGAGCTCCACTATGAATCCCTTCGTCAACAGGTGGAGTCCCGAAACCGACACAAGCTCAAGGTATGCTGCTTCTTCTCCTTCTCTAACATTAATCTTGCTTTTCGTTGGAGAATGGCTTCTAAGGTCAGGGACATCAACCTTGAGTTGAATAAGATAAATGAAGAAGCCAACAGATTGGAGCTGGTCAGTAGGTTAGTGATGACAGCTGCCCTCCCTGCTGCTGCTGATGCTGGAGACAGAAGAAATCGGCAGACCGACTCGGTTGCTGTTCCAATGACTGGAAGAGCCGATGATGAATCAAAGATAGTGAAGATGCTGTTGAGCCCATCTGAGAAGGTTGTCTCTTGTCTTCCCATAACTGGTATGGGAGGTCTAGGCAAAACAACTTTGGCTAAATCGATATACAACAATCACCAAATTGATGGGCACTTTCAGAAAAAGTTGTGGGTTTGCGTATCAAAAAAAGTTCCAGTAGTGGAACTTTTCAAACTCATACTAGTGCAATTGACGGGAGAAAAGGTTGAAGTGGATGATAGGAATGTCATCGTTGAAAAAATTCAGAATCAACTAGAGGGAAAAAGATATTTCCTTGTCCTTGATGATGTGTGGGATGATAATCAGGCATTGTGGGATGACTTTTTCACCACCTTGAAGGGGCTCAATCCAACTGATGGAAGCTGGTGTCTTGTCACTACTCGTATTGGTCAACTGGCAGATATTGTGTTGAAAGTTCTGAGGATGGATGATGAAGCCTATGCCTTAGGAAGGCTACCTGATGATCTTTGCTGGTCTATCCTAAAAGAAAAAGTAGTTGGAAGGGAAGAAGAACCTGATGAACTAAAAGCAATTAAAGAGAGAGTAATCAAAAGATGTGACGGTCTACCATTGGCTGCAAGTGTAATCGGAGGTCTATTATCTTTAAAGAGAAAAGAGGAGTGGCAATCAATTTTGGAGAATAGGCTTTTGAGTGCAGGTGGAGACCATGTGAGGCAAATACTTAAGTTTAGTTTTGATAATTTGCCATTACCAGCCGTCAAGAAATGTTTTGCATATTGTTCTATTTTTCCCGAGGATGCTGAGATGGAAGGGGATGTGCTGATCGAACTTTGGATGGCAGAAGGTTTCCTCCATGCAGGTCTCGAGAACAAAACAATGGAGGAAATTGGAGAGTATTACTTGGAAATTTTATTGCAGAGTTCTTTGCTGGAAGAAATAAGAGACGGTTGGAGAAGGAATGTTATAAAATGCATGATATGGTACACGAAGTCTCAAAATCAATAATGTCAAAGTCTACTAAATTCATTAATTCGGAGACTGGTTCAGGAGACAATAGTAATAGGTTCGTTGTCTTGTAATAGACTCATTTGGAGAAGGTGCAAAAAATCTTCTTGAGAGTCGATCAAATTTGCTTCATACATTGTTTCTGAGTCAGGGTAGCTTATCTGATGATATGCTAATGAAGTTGAAGAATTTGCACGTTTTGAATTTGTCCGGTGCAAAAAATCAGAATCTGCCAATCTCAATTGGCAAACTGAGACACTTGAGGTACATTAACTTTGAGGATTCCACAAGTGAAACTTTGCCGGAATCTGTTTGCAAACTTTATAATTTGCAGACACTGAGGCTAAATAGTCACTTTCTTAAAGTTCTTCCGAAGGGGATGCGCGATTTGATTAGCTTGAGACATCTCCACCTTTACATCATGGATAAAGCATTTCAAATGCCGCTAGAGATGGGACGGCTGACTTGCCTTCAGACGCTGGAGTTCTTTAACGTGGGTCGAGAGAAGGGTCGACGAATTGGAGAGCTTGGAAGCTTGAAGAACCTCAAAGGCAGTTTAACTATACGCAATCTGGAACTAGCAAAGGATAAGGAAGAAGCTGAGGAAGCAAAACTATCTGAAAAGGCAAATCTATTTAGGCTGCAACTTGAGTGGGCCTACAACCGAGAAGGCGACAACTACAACGACAAAGATGTGTTAGATGGCCTTCGACCCCATTCAAATTTGGAGGAGTTGGTAATTTGGTATTTTATGGGCAATCAATTTCCTCGATGGTTAATGGATTTGCCAACAACACTCCCCAAGTTAGCTCATTTGGCATTTTATTGCTTCAACTTTACGAATCTGCCAGGTGACATGCTACACTCTTGTACCTCTCTCCAGGAGCTTCGGGTTTTTGCTTGCGACAATCTTATCTCCTTTCCACTTGATTTGCGACAAACGCCTTCTCTCTTGGAGCTGGGATTATATTGGTGTCCCAAACTGAAAACAAGCATGACGCCCAGAGGATTTGGTATCCTAACCAGCTTAAGGAAGCTTGTAATTGGTCCTTCTCAGATGATCATGAAAATTCTTCAATTTACAATGAGTTTGATTGGTCTGGATTGATATCCTCCTCCTCCTCTTCGTCATCCGCACTCCGTGAATTAGACTTATATGGGTTGCCATACATGGAGTCCCTGCCACCTCAGATCCAATACTTGACCACTATGACGTCACTAACGCTATATCAATTTGGAGGTATAAAAGCTCTGCCAGATTGGTTCGGAAACTTTGCGGCTCTTGAAGACTTGCACTTATGGTTTTTCAAAGAGCTTGGACATCTACCCTCTGAGGATGCCATGAGAAGTCTCACCAAATTAAAACGTCTGGAGGTTTATGGTTCTCCTCTGTTAAAAGAAAGATGCACTCCTGAGAGCAGCGGCGCCGACTCCCAGTGGTCCAAAGTTTCTCACATTCAACACCTAGACATAACCGATTAATAACCAACTTTCATCTTTGGATCAAATTCAATCATGTAAGATTGCCTTCAATAACCTCTTTCTTAATTTGCTTTACAATCAATCAATCTCCCCTTCTCTTCACCTCCCCCTCTGATTAACCTTCTCGTGAGAAAACCTAAAAAAGTACCCGTGGTTATTTTCACAATTTTCTCTTTTCCCTTTTTATCGTCCTATTTATTATCTCTCAAAGCTGCGGCATTAGCATTTCTTATTAGGTCCAAAATATTGGTGCTCTTCATTTACTCCTTACAACATAATAGTAATACTCTTGTAACTATCAATTAGAATGACCGCAAGCACCTGTTCTGTTTCGTGCTTTGATGTTTTACTGTATCTCTGTTCATATTCTGTTCTATGCTTTGTTTTTGTAGGATTGATAGAAGAATAGCTTCACGAACAGAGGTTTGAATTTTGAAGCTTCTTCAGCACCATAACTTTTGGCCTGCATTTCCTACAAATGACCTATCAACGTTTAGAACAACTAGCAGTAATTGCTCATTCAATTGCAAACCCAGTATCTTGGACAGAAATGTTTATGATGGCCCTCTTTTCTTTCATATTGCTGCCTCAAATAGCCAAATATCCTTATTGTCGAAGCTTGCACACTGTCAGTCTGCCATTTCAGTCACGAGGTCTAGCAATAAGAATTTGGTACCTGAGACTGAGCAGAAAGATTTTGTATCTGCTATTTAGGTTTGAAATCAATGACAATATCTCTTTTTCTTAAGCTTTCTGCAAGATTTGTTGAACAGAAATGTCCTGCAATTACCCGAATTTTCTAGTTAGCTTTATGATTTTCTATACACTGTCTTGAGTTTTGAGTATTCTATTTTGCAGTGGTGTTATGCTCACAGCTCACGGGAGACCTCAATGGCTTAATTACTGCCATACGTATCAATATCCATTATTCCTTCTTCAACCACATCATTTTCAAATTGGAGACAAACATATAGAATGACACTCTCTTTCGCTCCTAAGTGACTGAGATGGCCAAAGCCTGAGATCTACGGTGTGAATGTGATGCCTTCAACCTGTTGGCCATGACATGAGGTAGTAATTCATCAATTATGGACCTCATTTGCTATTCTGTCTCATACTGCTTGCCTCTCAAATTAGCTGCAATTTAGTTGCGGAAAATTGTCAGTCTGTCTTTATGACTGCTTATTGTCTGTTAGTTGGCCTTTGCAAGCTACTCACCACCCTTCTTGAAGTTGTATCTTAGCTCCATTAGATACAACATGATTTTATGAGCTTGCCTGTTCTCTTTTTCAGTTAAAAATCGTAAGTCTAGAATGATGCTCTTACTTTAAGATTCATAGTTATTCCAAAATTACTGGTCTATATGATGTTGAGTAAATCTTATGTTGGTAGTCGCTTGACCAAAAACGAAGAATTGCATGAAGTTGTTCTTTTCAATTTTGTCTGGCGTCTTTCTTAGGTTTCTGTATCTTGATTGAAAGTTATAGGTACTCCATAAACATTACCATAAATAGGTGATGGTTACATGTCTTCAATGGAAGCTTGACTTAATATCTTGTCTGTGTATGAATAACCAAAGGCACAAGATTTTCTTGGTGACCAAAGCAAGTTCTGCATAAAAGAGAAGTGAAACAAATTAACTAATCAAGTAACAATGTAAAAGATTATTTCTAAGATTAGCTCTCAGCTTTAAACTCACGATTTGCATCAGGATGAAATGAGTTCTCTGCACTTTTGTCCGTGGAAAATGCATTTGCATTTTATATTCATAGCATCTGCAGAAAATTTGTGAAACATTTTCTATATGTCTTTAGATCAGCAATGCTGATGACACTCCTTTCTTCAAAACTTTCCAAGCTGATTTTTGTGGTCTCTTGCTTAGACAAACAGAGGTTAGAATTTTGAAGCTTCTTCAGTAACATCTATATGGCTGGAACTCAATAACTTTTGGCCTGCATTTCCTACAAATATCCTATTAATGTTTAAAACAACTAGCAGTCTAGTTTTGTTTATTTTAAATGTCTGTTTCTATGGATTTTAATTTATTATTGCTAAAGTCAGCTCACTCTATTTAAAATTGTGATTCTGAGGGGATGAAATGGTTTCTCTGAACTTTGACATCTTGATAATGAACTTGCAAACTTATCTGAACTATTTGATTAGTAATTGCTCTATCAGAGTCATATATGACGGTTGTCTGACTCACTTTTCCTTCATTTTGACTTTTGAGCCATGAAGAATTCATGTTTTGGTTCAAAAATTCTGGTAATTTTAGATATGCTTCTCTTCTTTCACTACTCCATTTTGACTTTTAACCACTTTAATATGTAATATATCACATATAAAACAAAAGAAATCTTGCACAAAACTTGGTGGAGTATCTTCCAACATTCTTGTCTAAGTGGAATATTTTGAAGCATTCCAGTAGTTGGTCAAGTCTGTTTGTTGCGACTTTCAGCTCTTAATGAATCCACCTTGATAAAGCCTCTTAAGCTCTCTCTGCTTTTATGATTGTTGGTTGCTTCTTTTTTTTTATGGTAAGTTTTGCCTTCTGGGGCTTCAGTTACAATGATAGAAAACCTGCAATTATCTGAAAATTTCCATTAGCTTTATTCTGTCCTGAAAGTCGTCTTAAGTTTGAGTTTTTGTGCTTTGCTGTGATTTTAGCACAAAGCTTAACAGGGAACCTAATCGATGGCTCTTACTGTCTTTACTTTTTGAAAGTCCTGCAATTCTTTGCTGAACAAGATCCTGCTTCAGTTGAATAGTGACATCTAGGATGGCATTCGCTTTCGCTCTGTGCCTCAGATGGCCAAAGTCTAAGATATCCATTGGGGTAGGTTCTTTTAAACTGTCCAAACGATTCAGTGATATTTAGTCATGATAATGAGGGGCTGATGTACATGTTTTAGGGTTCAAATTGTCATCTGTGGCATACTGCTCACAGTTAGAAGTTAGAATTAACTGGTGTTTTGGTAGCAGTTAAATGTGAATCCCCATAGCTCTACGTTCCTCAGCGGCCCATAGCTCTACTGTTCCTCAATGCCTCAATGTAAAATGCAAATTGCCTATCATTATTTTCAAGCTTATGATTGTGCTTACTTGCTTTGTGGTTGGAACCAAACCACTGTAATTGTAAACACGACTCAGTACTTGTTTATCCATTTAGTTTCATAACAAACAAGACATATTTTAGCCTTCTGTAAGAATGACAGAACAAAACTATTGTCGAATTTTCTGAACTTTCTGATTAGCTTTCTTGTTCACTTATTGTCTCAGCTCGAGTTTTCTGCTCTGCAATGATCTCAGGCTTAAATGTCAACAGAAATCTACAATTGCACTTACTTACTGATTGAATTACACAGCTTGTAACTTTTGAAAACTTTGTTGAATCAAATCCTGTTTCAATTGGACAGAAATGATTAGGATGGGACGCTACAGGCACACTTTTCTTTCTTCCTAGTGCCTAAAACCTGATAAAATGCTCTATCTTTGTCAGCTGGCCTCTACAAACTGCTCACCTGAATTTCTTTCCCCAACTTATGTAATGTCTTTCAAGATCAAGAGCCATCATTACCGTGAATTTCTGCTGATGAGCATGGGGGTTTGGTTGGCGGTAGAGCTTGTATTAGAGAAACAGATTGACAATGAGAAGCTTCCAAATTTTCAAGAAGTACTGTAACGTTAGGGAATTTGTTTTAAATGGATTAGTAGATGTACTTAGTATCAAGCCTTTTTCCTGCTCATTAGTTTTAGATCAAAGGCAACAAAAAGAAACCCTTTCTCTCTGTAAGATTCCTAGCTCAAAAATGACATGAAATTTGCTCTTCTATCTTTATTGGAATGCAGGCAAACATGCCTTCCTGAGATTTTCAATCTAAAAGCTCCTCGGCCAACTAAGTACTCTAAAAGTTCATTTGGTTATCAATTTGCTAGAAAAGAATGATAATGCGTTTACATTCATGAAATAGATTGTCAAAATCAAAGTTTGATGGAACAGAAAATTATAGAGAGGCAATGATGGACAAAGATTTTAGGAGTCAATTTCTAATTTTTTGTTTCTTCAGGACAACATACTCCAGTAAAATCATTACTAAATTCTTTTAAATCTATCCAATATCAGGTGATAAATATTGTATGGTAAGATGATTTTGTTGCAAAATATCTGAAGTTTTAAAACGTCTGTTTCCAAGATGTTGTCTAGTAATGTAACAGTAAGGACTGAAGAATTATCATTTTGCAAGTTGATTGCAGGTTGCAAATAGACATCTCAATCATTAATTGTACTACCTTATAAGCTGTGAATTATCGAAGTAAATTGCAATTTTAGAAATTTAGTTTGTCAAAGCTAAAAGCTCAACAGATGTTCAAGAGCAAGTTATTTGATGTGGAGTGTGGACAGTTTAACACGATGCCAAAGCTGAAAAACTTTTTGTATTTACATCTACGGTGCAAAATTCTTTTTTTAAAATAAAAACTAGCAGTTTACTTTTGCTCATCTCATATGTCTGCTACTTCCAGTTTACTTTTGTATTTCCATCATGACTGCTATTTCTCTTTAAACTTGAGAGTCTACCGGGATGGAAATGCTTGCTCTGATCTCTTTTAAATATATTTATCATCTTGCTCGAAATTATCTGATAATTGGTATTCTTATTATGTCTCTTAAATGATGGGATTCGACATAATTGCTCCAATATATTTATCATCTTTCTTTAGCTATGATCTCTTGACCTAAATCCAATGGTCAATCGAGTTACTCTCACTGCCTTTGGTTGTGAAATTGGTGGTCTGATAATTTATAATACCAACAATCTTCTTCCATTACTTAATGTTGGGTTAAGATGTTAAGATGTTTTTCAAGCGGTAGAGAGTTGGTAGACTATCCTCTACTGAAGTTGTCATATGAGATTTAAGTAAAATAGTTGTAATTAGCTCTGCCTGTTGCATCTTGCAGTCTCAAAGAGATCGCCTTCATGGCAATTCTGAGGCTCTCTTCCTTTCATGCTTGTGTTGCCACTCATTGTCATTATTGTTATAGAACTCCTCCTTTTTCAGTGTTTTGAACAAAAACTAATATAGTTTCTATGATACTTCTGGTACTTGTAGACTGACCAGAAAGATTTGATATCTTCTTGCTGATTTAGGTTAGAAAAGAACAACAAGAACAAATATTGATTTAGCTTTCTGAATAATTGACCAAACAAGAATGTCATGCAATTTCCAGTTTTCTGTTTTGAAGTGACTAGGAGTTTTGTTTTGTTGATTTTATATATCTGCTTTTGTGGATGTAAGATGTGATTGCTAAAGTGATCAGCTCCCTAGCTTATGATTCTAGAGGGAGTAAATAGTGGCTCCAAAGTTTAATGGCCCCTTGAGGGCGCATTTATCAAGCTTCTTGAACCATTTGATTAGTGATTTGTTCGATAAGTCTTGTAAATGATGGGTTTCTGTCTCACTTTTCGTTGGTTGTGATTTTCTAGCCTGAAAGATTTCAGGAGTTTCCAGAGTGTTGGTCATCAAATTGGTTTTTGGTTCTAAGAGTCCAGTAAGTTCAGATATACTACTCTTCTTTTACTACGCAATTTTGACTTTTAAATACTTTGATTCTGAATATATTACAACTAAAACTTGAGAAATCTTCTCGTAATGGAAGATGTTTTTTGGAGCAGCCATGGAAGATGTTTTTTCAGAGCATCTTCTAACACAATCAAGTCTAAGCTGCCAGTTTCGAAGCATATCGCTGTGGTTAGTCGAGACTGCCAAGCATGCTTGTTGGCTGCAATTATTTCATCCGCTGTGATGATGGCTATGAAGCTCATTCTACAACCTATACTTGTTGATATTGCTCATCTCTTCATGGTAAGTTCTTATTTTAGTGTTTCAAATACAACAAAAATGTCATGCAACTATGTGCTGGCTTTATTCTTGACTACATGCTGTCTTGAGTTTCTTAAGTTTGAGTTTTTGTGTTTTGCAGTGATTTTACACTCGAAGATCAACATTAACCTTGATAGCTCGCTCTTACTATCATTTGTAATGAAGTCCTGTGATCCCTTGTTGAACCAGATCCTGATTCAGTCAGATCAGATGAAAACATCCGGCATGGAATTCCCTTTTGCTCTCTGCCTCGGATGCCCAAAGCCTGAGATCTTCCCTGTCTGTCTGGTGCTGTTGAACTGTCCAACCAATTCAGCAATTTGTAGACATGTTAATGAGGTGCTATTTTACTTCTTTTGGAACTCAATTTGCCATATCTTCCATACTGCTTGTAGTTCAAAGCAGCAGAAAGATGTGGATTAGCTGAACCCTGATAGGTGCTTGCATCCTTCTTGAAGTTGTATCTTAGCTCTATAACAGGCAACATATTTTTTCTCACTGTTCTGCAGTCGACTACAAGTTGTGCCCAATGATACTTTTTCCATTGCTCTTTGTATCTGTAAATCTCAGACAGGACTCGGAGCACAAGAATCAGTCAGCTTGAGCCCTTCTATTTATGTTAAATCAGATGAATTGAGGCACCAATTTCTATTCAAGAGAGGATCCCACTTGGTGGATGGGAACGTTGGAGAGATGAAATTATGGAAATCAATTGAACAGGATCAAGAATTAAATGGGAACATACAAGGTCAACCTTAGTTCATCAAACTGATATTTTACATAGCATCTATTTGTAAAATTACTTCTATGTGAACTTGTCTCTTGGCTTCAAATCCTATTCATTGCTAGCTCAGGATATGTAACAAGGAATGCATTTCTACTTTTCTATGCCTCTAAGACTTTGACGGCCAATACAAGTAAATCTTCTTATTTTGAAATGTGGTATTATTCAAAACTACAAGGGGATTGTGTGTAATTCACCCTCTGATATTTGATTGCCAATGCTCTCTCTTTACTGGCATGACTCTGTGTATGCGTTTTAATCCGCGGCTTCAGAACAACGCCTACTAGTTGCTGTAAATCTTACTTCTTCTTTGGCTCTGCCTAACCAAACCTGATTGCGGATAATACACAAAGTAGAAGCCGGCCTCAATTTGGTATTTTCTCTATTCCGGGAGGTACTTGTGTTTAAGAAACTTGGAAGTTTGAACAAGCCAGCAAAGTCAAAATCCAATTCACAAAACCAAGTGCAGGATGACAACACAAACAAGCCACTTAAAAAAAAAAAAAAAAAAGGGAATCCCAGCATTGACCTGGGAAATTATTTTGCAGTAAAAAGCCAAGCAGCTTCCCTGGGAAAAGCATATTGTACTTTGGTTAAACAAACTCCTCAAATTTTCACCACTTAAATCTTGCACATGAAACATAACCAAGACATATTGAGTGTGAAAACTAATTATAAATGGGATAGGAGGCTAATAGAAGAATACGGTCTAAGATATGAGTTGTTAAATTCCTTCTTTCAAGTATCATTGATGCTTTAGAAGACTTCCTAAAGTACGAGAGAATATTTGAACAACTTTCACAAGTTAAAATGCAAAGAAAAGAGTCCAATTCGTGGCCAATTACATGGTGTATGACCAAGTCTGAGTATTGAGGTGGACATCCAGTACACATATTCCTCCATACTGAACCAACCAGCCAGATAAGTAGTATGGAAATTATCACTTTGTGGTCTCTGGACTTTGCCCAAATTCTCAAAGATTTTAAGCAAACAAAATAATAATTAGGACAAATTACCTTTTGCCCTCATGATTTGACTTAATATACCTATATATAACCTTCTCATGGTGTGACTTAATGGGTCACCGGTAGTTTCTCCATCAAAGTTATCAATAGTAAAAAAAGAATCAAAGTCGAACTAATACATTGACAAATTTACTCTTTCACTATTTTCGTTTTTTTTTCATCCAAATACAAAAAAGAAGAAATTTAAATAAAGAATAGATAAATAATAAGTAGAAAATACCATAAAAGATTTGGTCTAAAAGCCTATCATGATATTTGCAGTCAATAAAGATTTGGTATTTTTTGTTTCTTATTTATTTGTTTTATATTTCCCTTCCATTTTTGGTTTCTTATTAATTTATTTTTTTCACTTTCCTTCCATCTTTCTATTTCTTAATTGTTTATTTTTCATTTCCCTTCCTTTTTTTTGTATCCAGAGAAAATTAAGATTTTATAAGCCAAGTACAGATTTTAATTCATCTCTTCTCTTCCAAAAAAAAGAGAGAGAAAGAAAGAGAAAAGAAAAAAAAAGAAAGAAAGGAAAAAAAATGTAGTGAAAAGGTGAATTTGTCTATATATTAGTTTGACTTTGATTTTTGCTATTGACTGTTAGTTTTAACGGAAAAAAATGATGGTAACACTTTAATCCAAATTATGAAGAGATTATATATAAGTTTTTAAACTATAGAAAGATTATGTGGTAAAACACCAAATCACAAAGTATGATCATCTTTTTTCATATCATCTTCTCCAGAAAACCGCCCCTGTGCACCGCAAGCAGCCACCGCACGGAATTACTTGACATAAATAGGCTGGCGCCACGGACAGAAATATCATATATGCACAAATGAAGAAGTAGATCAAGCACTCCATCCATTTCTGAAATTTTGAAGACGCCATCATTTTGGGTCATAAGATTTTGGGTTTGAATAGTACTAATTTATGGGTGATTCAGAGGTGAATAGGAACAAAGTTAAAAAAAAGAAAAAAAAAAGAAAAGGGAAGGTCAAGTGGTGAGAAGGAGATACAATATGTTTTAACCAAAAAATACAAAAAAGAGATACATTGTAAGGCGTATGGATGGAAAGAAGAGAAAAAGATTTTCTATTTTCCCATTTTATATATTGCCTTATAATCAAATAACCAACTAACCCTTTACGACTGTTAACTATAACAAAAAACTTAATATTTTAATTTAGGACAAATTACACTTTATCTCCTTTGTAGTTTAATGTTTTCTTACATAACCTTACTATGGTGTCAAAAGGTATACATAACTCACTCATGATTTGAATTAAAATATCAAGGTGACGGAATTTGCAATCCATAACAGAGACAACTAAAATATTAAAAATACCCTTATGTAAAGTTGAAAATTATTTATTAACGCAGGGAGGTGATGTATAGATGTTGAAATCATAAAGGGGTTATATGGTAAAGCACTAAACCATAAGGGGGTTATATGATAAAATATTAAACCATACAGGGTTAGAGTGTCATGCATATTATATTTCTATATTTTGGTAATTTTGACATTTTCATAAATTCTGTTACAAATGATTATTTCCATCTCTTTGACACTTTAGTCCAAACTATAAAAAAGTTATACATAGGTTTTAAAACTATAGGACGGTTATGTGAAAATTAGCCATACCACAGGAGGGTAAAGTGTAATTTGCCATTTATTTTAATCAAAAGCATAAGGGGGTTTTTTGTAGGTTTCAAAAGGATAGGGAGTTAACTTGAACATTCGGTTAATCATAGCGAGGCTTTTTGTATTTAACCCAAAAAGAAAATGGTTGCCGGATTTGCAATTATGATTGGCATTTTCCCTTTCTTTTTCCTTTTTTGTCGTATTTTAAATCCTTGATTGTCGTATTTTAAATCCTTGATTGTCATATTTTACACAACCCAAGGCTCCAGCATGTGGATCAAAAGTAGATGAAGGCCCGAGCAACGATAAGTAGAGAAAAATGTAGTTTTTGTACCCAAATTTTAACACAAGCAGTTTTAATCCCCAAATTATAAAAATGTGTCTTCATTGGAAGCTTGAGTTAATATCTTGTTTTTGTAGTTAATAACCAAATGCACAATATTTCTTGGATGACCAAAGCAAGTTTTGCATAAAAGAGAAGTGAAACAAATCAACTAATCAAGTAACAATATTCATGGAACTTTCACGAATAGTTGTAATTAGCTCTACTTGTTGCATCTTGCTGTCTCAAAGAGTTTGCCTTCATGGCAATTCTGGAGCTCTCTGCCTCTCATGCCTGTGGTTGCCACTCATTATCGTTATTGTTATAGCACTTTCTAGCTCTTTTTTTCAGTGTTTTGAGCAAAAGCTAATATAGTTTCTATGGCACTTCTGGTACTTGTAGACTGAGCAGAAAGATTTGATGCCTGCTTACTGATTTAGGTCAGTAAGAACAACGAAAACAAATATTGATTGAGCTTTTGCAGGTAATCAAATAACCAAATGTACAAGATTTTCTTGAGTCTCCATTTTGCAAGAAATCAACAATCATCTTATCTGATTCTTGCAGTCCAGTTTCGTCCATCATTTTTCGATTCAGGACATTGCATGTAGCCAGTAGTACATTCATTGTTCTCAGGCAAAAATGTAGTGAAAATGTGAATTTGTCTATTTATTAGTTTGACTTTGATTTTTGCTATTGACCGTTAGTTTTAATGGAAAAAAATGATGATAACACTTTAATCCAAATTATGAAGGAATTATATTTAAGTTTTTAAATTATAGAAGGGTTATGTAGTAAAACACCAAATCACAGGTATGATCATCTTTTCTTGTATCATCTTCAGCAGATAACCGCTCTTGTGCACCGCAAGCAGCCACCGCACGGAATTACTTGACATAAATAGGCTGGCACCATGGACAGAAATACCATATATGCACAAATGAAGGAGTAGATCAACCACTCCATCCATTTCCAAAATTTTGAAGACGTCATCATTTTGGGTCATAAGATTTTGGATTTGAAATAGTACTAATTTATGGGTGATTCAGAGGTGAATAGGGACACAAGTTAAAAAAAAAAAGAGAGAGAAAGAAAAGGGAAGGTCAGGTGGTGAGAAGGAGATACAATAACCAAAAATACAAAAAAGAGAGACATTGTAAGGCGTATGGATGGAAAGAAGAGAAAAAAAATTTCTATTTTCCCATTCTATATAATATAAATTGCCTTATAATCAAATAACCAACTTACCTTTACGGCGGTTAACTATAACAAAAAACTTAATATTTTAATTTAGAGCAAATTATGCTTTACCTCCTTGTGGTTTAGTATTTCTTACATAACCTCACTATGATGTCAAAAGTTATAGATAACCCCCTCATGATTTGGATTAAAGTATCAAAATGACGGAATTTGCAATCCATAATAGAGATGGCTAAAATATCAAAAATACCCCTATATAAAGTTGAAAATTATTTATTAACCACAGGAAGTTATGTATATATATTGAAAACCATGAGGGGGTAATATGATAAAGTACTAAACCATAACGGGATTATATGTTAAATATAAAATCATACAGGGTTAGAGTGCCATAATATATATTATATTTCTATTTTAGTAATTTTGACATTTTCATAGATTTTGTTATTATTTCCGTCATTTTGATACTTTAGTCTAAATTATAAAAATGTTACGTATAACTTTTAAAACTATAGGGAGGTTATGTGAAAATCAACTATAACAGGAGGGTAAAGTGTAATTTGCCCTTTATTTTAATCAAAAGTATAAGGGGATTTTATATAGATTTCGAAAGCATAGGGAGTTAGCTTGAACATTCAATTAATCATAATGAGTTTTTTTGTATTTAACCAAAAAAAAAAATGGTTGCCGGAGTTGCAATTATGATTGCCATTTTTCCCTTTCTTTTTTCCTGTTTTGTCGTATTGTCATATTTTATGCAACCCAAGGCTCCAGCATGTGGATCAAAAGCACATGAAGGCCCGAACAACGACAAGTATTGAAGAATTCAACTGAAATTCTATGCAGGAAATAGGGCCTCACAAGTTCCATTACGCATAAATTGGTATAAATTAACAATTTAC